CTGTTTTCCCAGTTCCTCTTTTCCCAATGTCTGTTTCGCCTTTGAAGCAATAATGAAGAAATTACTCTCTCTACTGCAGTGTGAACAACAAAACTAAGTGCCTCGCTTTGTTTCAGTTATAGATACATTTCTCAGACAACATGGGGATTTCTTTTTATTTTGTTTTTCTGTTTGACAATTTGCAAGAACACCAGCTGTCCATATGAGAAATGCTTTTTATTCACACCTGTTGTTTAAATTTGACAGGCACCAAGTCGAGTAGGAACTTGTTAGATTTCTTTACACCACTTGGAAAAAATGTCATCATCCATTAAGTAGAGCACAGCTCCCTTCCAGCACCAGTAGACCTTGAGCTTGGTTCTCTTCTGATGCAGGCGTCAGGATCTTGCTTACCTTCGCATTACAGGAGTGTTTTTATTGGAGATGAAGGGAAAAGACTGCAAGCTGATTGGCAGACATTAAGATGAGTATGCAAGTAGTAAAACTGTTCTACTGAGTAATGTTAATCACACTGAAGTATAATTGTAAGTTAATTGTGTGTATGTGTACCTGACATACACTGCTATGCACCAGAAAGTATATATAGCATCTAAAATATGGAAATGGTTTTGGTTTGCTTCAAGGTCAAAGAAATAAGTGATAGTATTTCCAACTTAAGCAGTTGATTCCAGGTTAAGTGGGTTATTCCAGGTGGCCAGAGGGACAAACTGTCCCACACTTACTGCTTACCACAGAAATCAATCATCCCAGGCAGTTGTCTTCCCCAATAGTGAAGTTTTTCAAATTTTCTTACTAGTTTCCCATAGGTCTGCATGCAAAGGTACAAAAGAAGAAAGAAATAGTTTTTGCAATAATCCTATTGTAGCACAAACCAGTGTAGAAGCCATTAACTTGATTTACTCTTATTTTACAGGTATGGAAAGGGGATAGAGTAAAATCCTTTCTTACTGATCTGTGTAGCACATAGTGATTGTGCACTTACACATCTTTAGAGAGGCTCTTTTGAAACATGCCTCAACTTGGAAACAATAATATGAAGCAAAGGAATGGAGTTTGTAGTATGCATGGACTCGCTCCCATAAGAATACATGAGCCCGGTGCCAAATGCCTCCACCCAAATATCCGAGATGTTACTAACTTGATAAGAGGCCTTTTCCTGTTTTTCACTGGCCTGTGCAGTTTCTCAAGCTATCTGTGCTCAGTTCTCACGAAGAGCATTTTTAGTGGCACAGAACAAGTCTGCAGAGCGAAATGAAGGTGTAATTGCAGCACAGGTAGGTGAAACCACGCTAGAACAGATAGGTAGTCATAGCAGTGAATGTGTGGAAAACGGGCTGGTAACCAGCATGAGCAAATAACTGGATGAGCATTTGGTGTGAACTGCAGAGAAGCATTTGCTTATGGCAACAGTTATCAGTAAAAACACATGCTGGAACTTTAAATAATGTTGAATGGTTTGGGGAAATTTCTAGGAGGATAGATGCTCAGAAGGCTCTAGAGTCTTCTATCTAAAAGAACAGAAGACGACAATAAATGCAAATCAGGACTGTATTCTTCACACAGGGATATGCCTGAACATTCACATACAAAATCTGGAGAGGCATTTTTCCTCCTGCTGCTCTGTCTCTCAAAGCAAACGTGCCTGGTTTTTTCCTTCCTGACTTGCGGACAACCGCTGTGGAGATGGCACTTGCCCCTGGCACTTCAGGATGACTGAATGCAGTTGTCTGGGCTGCTTCTCTCCTGAGTAAGTCAGTCAGTGTCAGGCAGGCAGAGTTCTCGCTGCCACTTCTTGATGCATAGTTCTCTGGGACTTGTTCGTCTCATTGAAATTTGTATTTTGGGGAGAAAGGGTGGAAAGAGAAGTAGTTATTGTGAGGAGCTCTCCCTAGAGCAAGCCAGAAAGCTTTCCTAAGTGCCTGCAATTTGTAATTGTATCTTTGGGCATATGAGCTTCAGGCTGATACCTTATGGTTAATATATTTGATCTTTTAGGTGTTTTACACTTTCTGTAATTTATTACTTGGTTTTGAAGCAACGTAATTCAGTCTGAAAAGTGATACTTGGAGAAGTCAAAGAGGTGTCTGGTACCTATGGCATTGTGTGAGTAGCGGTTACACAAGCCATCATTTTCCATGGTATATTGTACCTCTACCCACTGAATGAGAAGAGAAGCTGGAAAGCGTAAAAAGATGATGCACAGAAACTGAATTCTAGTGATAAATGTGAAGTCATTCTCAGGGACAAAATTGCTCAGTCCTGTCTGCACTCAGTTTTCTACCAGAAGAGACTGTTGCCTGGAGAATAACTTCAGAAAAAACAGGAAATAATTCTGTATGGTTTTTTTTTTTTTTTTTTTCTCGGGTGATGGTAGTGCCTTTCTTTTTTTACACTGATGTATTTCACAAATGTTCCTTCATTACTTACTTTCAGCTGGTGACAATTATTTTTTTCTCTGAGTCTCAAGAGGTTTAAAGCAGGCCCTGAATTAAAAGTATGAGGAAATCACCACTGAGAAACTGGAGTTTCAAAACTAATGTCTTTGCAGAGAAGGAAGAGAAATGTGTGCGGCCTTTGGCTGGTCTGTAACCACAGCATGGCCTTTTCAGCATTCCTTTCCCTGACATGCAAAGTATTTCCCAAACTCCCACCCTGTTGTTTCTAGGAACCCTGTAAGGCTGCATGCAACTTGTAAAACTAAGGCAGTAATAATGTGGCACCATAAAACTCTTACATTCTATTTTATTGAAAGTAAACAATCACCAGGTGACACATCCAGAGTACACAGGAAAATGGAGTAAATTAAGGAGAGTTATGTTCCTTTTACAGTGTGTGCGTTGGGGGCGGAGGGGGAATATGAAGTCACCAGCCTGTGGTGCTGCACGAGTCTTGAGGTATGAGCTGCTGCTTGGAGGGCAGGGCCAGCCCTGCTGGGCTGCTGGTTGAGCTTAAAGACCACCACTGCTGCCCTGTCTGTTACCTTGTGATGGGGACACAGACATGGCACGACTGTGCTGCTGGTGTGACCACAACAGGGTCAGTGTTCCTGTACAGCATAGAAAACATGAATCAGGTTTAACTAAACTCCTCAAGAAGTTAAGATTAACAAATACCTGAATCATAGTGCAAGCAGGGCTGATGATAAATGTGTTGATCTCCATGTCTATAGACCTACTGTTTTTAATGCTACTTTTTTCTCCTGGTCCAGACATCGTACACATTTAAAGATTTGTTCCTGATTAATGTTTCTCAGCTACGTTGTTGGAGAATTCACCCACCTGTGACCTTAGTTTAGGAAACAAAATAAAAAAAAACTCAGGGAAGACTTTAATCTTAAAATAAAACTGTGAGTATGCACCTATTTATGTACCTTTTGGGGAAGGGATGTCTGTATTTTGGCTGGGTGTAACTGTTCTAGCACAGAATGTTACTGATTTGCATTGGTAGGTTTAGACTGTTACTGAAATTGTACATGGACCATAATCATGCAGATGTTACCTTATTTGATAAGCAAATAATAATAATACTCTGAGCTATACTGAGCAAGACCAAACAAAAAATGTACGTGGGTGAGGAATCTGTAATAACTCCGTTCAGTAAGATGTGACAGGCAAGAGAACCACCCATTTTGCTAATAAGTGGTTAAACTGGTAAGGTTTCTTACTGCCATCTACTGTACAAAAGTTATAAATGGTATTTAATGGGATGAAAGAGCAGAGCTGGGCTCAGGATTTCAGAACTGACCAGCCCATTATTAGGGGAATACTAATATGCCTCACTTATTTCCTATCATTCAAACCTTAGACGTTGTTTGTTTAAAGCATTACCCAGCTTTTCAATTTCAAAGGAAATGTTAAATTTAGGGGCATGTCACTGTAGAATTTTGCCACATCAGTGAGCTCAAAAAGTAAATGAGATCATCGTAGCAAAAAACCAGATCAAAGTCCAGACCTACAAGCAAGAACAGCCATAACAACATCTGTTAAACGTTGCTGAGACATCAGGATCCACAAAAGCACTTGCAGAAATGGAGGAGAACTGACAGAAGTGATGAAGTTGTTTTCAAAATCTAGATCTATTTTTTTTTTTTAGAGTCATGTTTTAGGAAATACTGATGAAGCCTCACTATTTGCAAATACTTGATGTTTCCACATACTGCTGATCACCAGAATGAGCATTTTACATATTTTGATGGTGGAGAACAGTGTGAAAGCAGCTGCCCAGCTTGTTGGTGTTCCCCAGCTCACACAGTGACAGTGTTGTGAAAAAGCCAGTGAACAAAATAGCACACAATTACAAGAGCAAGATGGCTGGGAAGATACATAAGCACTTCAGGGTCTCATGTCATTGAGCCTTTGGTGTTTGTCTTGCTCAAAGGCTGTAAAGCCTTAAAGGATTCTTGATGATGAGACTCAGGAGCTGGCCCGTGCTGTGGGGAGTGAGCGCAGCCCTGCTTTGCTGAGAGACCCAATGTGTTGCTCCGTTCTTTATCATCAGAATAAGGCATATCTCTTCATACAGGCTTTTCAAATCGGGTAAGTACAACTTGGCAAGGAGGCAGAGCAGAGGAAAACTCAGCTGGTTTAGTCCTAAACTGTGTGGAGGTTTTCCACCATGCCAGAGGGGTCTCCAGATGGAGTTTTCTGGCTGTGTTACATAAGGAAGATGGATTACAGCTGAGAGTCTGTGCCTATCCTTCTAAGTGACTGATGGACGAGGACAGAAGAAAAACATCTTCATTAAACATTTTTGTTAGAATTGGATTAGCCTAGTGCTTGCTGTCTTCATTTTCTGTTGCTAACAGTGGGAGTAGAAAATTCTCAAAACCTTCTAAGCCTGATATCTCGACTCAAAGTTAACAAAACCAGCAGCTTAGAGGAAGACACAGCAGATAACAGCAGGCCATGTTGTGCTACTGGCTTTAACACAAACTTCTTCATTAAGGTAATCAGAGAAATATGGCAAGATCAGTTTCTGGCTTGGGCCCATTCACAAGCGTGATGCCAAAGAGTGTTCCTACTGAGCAGGTTAATGTAAGAATGCAGAGAATCCTGCTGCAAAACACTTCCAGAGACAGTTTAACACAGTGAAAATGAGTTACGAGAAAGTAAATACAGCATCTTGTACCAGTTGGGTGTGACGTTGTACTGTGATAAGCAACAGAGCTTTATTGTGAAAATACTAATGAGATATAAATGCCTGCAGTGAAAAGCGTAGCATCTGGTCTGCATTTGACTTTATGCATGAAAGCTATTTGGCCTGACTTCCTGCCAAATCCTGCAGTTTTTGAGATCATCGGACGTGAAGGAGATTGAACTCCCTGGATTAGCATCTCAGGATTTTCTCCTAGCAGAACATATGTGGAGTTCTAAAAGGACAGACTCCTCATTTTTGCTTACAAGTGTGGCTCTTTTTTTTTTTGCATTTTTTAAGCTATTGTATTCTCTGTCAACATTTCTAACATTTATGGAGTGGCCGTTATTAAAAGCTGTTAGTTGTTGTTCAAGAATCCTTCATCATCTATACATCGGGCTTTAAGTCATAGTGTAAATATCCCAGAAAATCTCCCAAGAAATGGAACTGCAACCCCCTGCAGAATCCATCAGACAGGACCCTGTGGGCTTTCTGCAAGAGGAGCTCTCTGCATTGCTGAGTAATGATACATCCTGGCCCCATCTGTCCGTGATTTGCAGGCTGAGGTCCCTTAGAACACTCCTGTCTAAGGCATTCCCTTGAGAGGACTGACTTTGAAGAGTTAAATGCTACTGCAAACGTTTCTCAGCTGCTTAGACACTGATGCTTTCCCCAGAGTATGCCAAGGGCTCTGCTGCTTTTGGTATCTTCTCTAGAATGTTCTACTTGGACCATGGTGTGCTTAGTTCATATAAACTAGTCCCTCCCTGTCCTCCCCTCTTGCATTTGGACTATTGGACTAGGTAGTCTGAAATCCAGAACAAGAGCAATAGGAGTGCTAAACAAAGACTGAAATGAACTGTTAATGAGGGGTTTTTTTAACCTTCTTTGAACTCAATGTCATCTGCTCAAGCATCATTGCAATTTGCAGTTTCCCAGGAATGACATATAGGAGGGGGATGACTGAGTATCTCCATACTAATGAAGATATTTTGATGCTCCAGTTAGACACATGGACTAACAATTCAGCAGATGACTTTGGCTCTGGATTTGTCTTTGCATTAGGTACATATGATCTCTTTAATTGTCATAAAAGGCTGCTGTAAGGATCCCAAATCTGCAGCCTCATCTGCTTGGCAAAGCTCATGAGAGTCCTGGTTTTTGGATGTATCCGTGGATAGGACTTGGATCTAGGTGACGTGCTGCCTACCTGTCCATCTGAATCTGCTGATGCACTGACAATCCTTCTTTCCTTCTGCCTTGTTGAATAATATTATCACTATTTCATCACCCTTCAGTCTCTTCAGCTTGCTTCTCAGTCAACATTCAAATCATTAAAGAGAGCTATTAAAATTGTGTTGGAAAACGAATCTGTGGAAGGTTTTGAGACAGTTTAAAAGTGTTAATTGAAGGGCAGTGTTGTCTCTCAGTAGTCTCTGCCTAAAGAGAGCAACTACATGGAAAAATAATTTCTGTGAGGAAATGCTTGAGGTGTCATCGGCACTGCTTGAGGCGGAAGCTTGACTCCAAAACCAGCGTTGGAAAATTCAACCTTTGTAGTAATTCCTCACTAATCTAGATGAAGTATATGCACATCTTGCAGGTAAAAGGGTTTATCTTGGTGTTAGCCCACCTGGCCCTGCTGGGCATTCAGCAGCAGGCTTTTTTCGGGGAACCCTGCCGTGGTTGCTGTGAGGTGCAGAGTTAAGGTGAGAAATTGCGTCCTGGCTTGGAGCGTCCTTCATCTTCTCTCCATCCTCATCTTCGCTCCCTTCCCTTTCTCCTGACCCGGCTGCGATGGAAGCCTTGGTTAAGCCCCGCTGATCCGACTCCCACCCAGAGAAGGGGGACCGTCCCCGGCTGGAGAGAGGCGCTGCGGGGCGGGGGGAAGCGGCCCCTGCCCGGTCCTGCCGGGGCTCCCCCCGCTCCGCTCCCGGTCCCGCCGCCACCGTCGGCGCTCGATGCGCTCGGAGCTCGGCCGAGCGAGCGCTCTGGCGCGGCTGGAGCTGCCTGGCGGTCGCCCGGTGAGGCGGCGGTGGCGGCGCAGCTATGCAGGGCCTGGCGGGGGCCCTGCGGCGGGCTGCGCTCCCCGGGCGGGTGGCGGGGCCCCGGCGAGGGGGCGGCGGTGCCGGGGCGCGGCCCTGGGGCTGGGGGCTGGCGCTGGGACTGGCCCTGGGGGTGAAGGTGCCGACCCCGGC